GCTGAGAATGATGCTCAGCCCTGGAGCACGAAGCCGCAGGGGTTTGGGCTCTGAGCCGCAGTCGCTCCCTGGAGCTGTGCTCAGCTGCCCACGCTGCTCTCTCCCAGCTGGAGAGCCTGGAAGGAGGGGCTGGAGGGGCTCCCGACCTCCCTGCTCTCCCCACCCGGCAGTTTGCTCAGCCTAACAAGTCACATCTGATGGAGTCGCTGCCGTTTGGGTCCCTCAGGGATTATAATACGATTGCAGCAGGTCCCAGCTATTCTCTGCAGCCCAGCATGTTGTTGCTTCATTAAACGCCAAATTGTTACATTAATTCTAACTGCCCTGTAGAGATGTAGCTGTCAGGAATGATTTACTTGCCTCCAGCTGACTCAGAGACTTTTTTTCCAGGCTCTGTGTAGGCGCTGGAAGAGGCCAGTGCCTGGGAGGGAGTGGGATGCAGGATGGTGTCCAGCCAGATACAGGCACCAAGTGGCTCTGCCCTCCCTGGGGATGCTCTTCAGTCCCCAGTGGAAAAATAACCAGGGAGATAAAAAATGGTGTGGAGTTTGGTTTTGGCTGAGCTCTGGGCTGCTAGTGACTCAAGGTGCCTGTTAACATGCAGCATCTTTGCTGGACACACTGAGTCCAAATCTCTGGGTCTCTCCTTCATCCTAACCAGCAGCTCTGCCCGTGCTGCAGGAGGAGTGTTTGGAGGCTTTCCTGCCTTGTTCCCAAGGGTTATGGTGTGGGCAGGGGGAGGCAAGGTGGGATGTGCCAGGTGGTAGGAAAATCACTACTCAGATGCTCTGACACACCTGAGAGACACCACTGGAGGAGAACACGAGGATGACCCTGCCCCAGCCACCTCCCTTCTCCCCGTGGATAAGGATTTTCACCTGGATCACATCCTCAAAGAGACACTGGGGTCCCCAAAGGGGCACTGAGGTTCTCAAGCCCTGCGACTAGGGAAGAAGGTTGGTGGTAGGAAAATCACTACTCAGATGCTCTGACACACCTGAGAGACACCACTGGAGGAGAACACGAGGATGACCCTGCCCCAGCCACCTCCCTTCTCCCCGTGGATAAGGATTTTCACCTGGATCACATCCTCAAAGAGACACTGGGGTCCCCAAAGGGGCACTGAGGTTCTCAAGCCCTGCGACTAGGGAAGAAGGTTATTCCCTCCCTTTTGTC